CCCATACAGGAGCAGCCAGTCACTCACTGACTAACACTGCGAAACAGAATTGTTGAAGTTTTAATTTCAATTTCAGATCAGGTTAGATTTTTTACAACGCAGAGACCGTGCCAGCAGTGCGCACGTGCACAGCTTAGAGGGAACATTGGTTCAGAGTGAAGTTTAGTTCTGATGAGATATACACCATTGACTGTGTTCAAACCTGCACAGAAGATGGTTAAGCGTGCAGATGTAAACGTTAGCATTCAGATGGGTACAGGAGATGACGAATCAATTATTCCAACACATTTTCTGTTTTCTTGTGTTGGGGATCATGAGGTTCTGACCATTTCATGTAAAACAGAAAAGGTAAAATTGGCTAGGTCCAAGATTCCAAAATAGTACATCCAAGAGATGCCTATTCTGTCTTTTACATTGATACAAAGGAAGGACTAAATGCCAAAAAAATAAGCTTTTTAAAAGGTATCAGGTTCAGGTATCTCTGTGTTTACGGAGAGAAGGGGATAACTGTGGTGGAGGCTCTAAAGAGAGATGGCCGCTTCACTGATGACCTGGGCTACTTTGAGCTGGTCAACATCAATGACAAATGTAAGACTGAGTGTACACACATACACACACAAAATTAATAATCTGGAAAATAAGAAATTCCAGACATGTCTTCCACGAGGAGCAAATACTGAAGCAAAAGATTTAAATCAACAGGCTGACCATGTCCAACTCAAACAGCAAAAACCAAAACAAGCATCAAATAATGCACAAGGAAAGACAGAAATATGATTAATCTTAAATGTAGCACAGTGGACAGGAATCAGTCTAAAAGAGCAACCAAAAAAAGCAGCAGCAGCATTGAGAACCTTTATGAACTACTGCGTGCCCAGTGTCCACCTCTGAAACAACACATGGAAAGTAGATTCCTTGGGAATTCTTCACAGAAAGCATTTAACCTGAGGAAGGAGAACTTTGGAAAGATCCAGGAGTCTTTTAGTGAAATTCACAAAGTCAGTAAGCTGCTAGAGTTGATCAAGTCAGTTTGTCTTATTAAACCCGATTCTTTTATCCCCAGTACTGAACAGAGAAAACCCGAATCAGTGTGGTCAAAGCTCAAAAAATAATCTTTATTCTACATTTCCGGAAACAGAGAGCTGCAGACGCTAGCAAGCATCAACAGGTCTAAAAGCATTAGAAGCTAAATTTGTATATATAGTTCTCTTATACGTCACACACAGTTTTGATCAAAACAACTCTGCAGTGCACCCTGCCTAGTTTCACTTTCTGTCTGCACCTCTTCTCTGCAAAAGCATACAGTTTCCTGTCAGTACTTTTGGCACTGACAATGGCGTTCTCCTATACTGGCCTCTATAAATCAACAGAAACAGAAAATAAGCACTAACAATATATATTTATTTCGTAACAGTCTCATAACTGGTTCCTCTATAAAGCAGGGCACAGGCTTTGTCCTTTTTGACAACTATGTCTTGACGAATGCCCACTTATTCAAATACTAGATTAAATCAAAATTACCTAATTATCATGAACCCGTAAACGTTACTGCT